TTCTTTTTTTACTTATTTCGTTTTCTTGAAAAAAAAAAAAAAAAAAAAATGAATCGTGTGTATGTATCTGGTTCGTGTGTGACCAATTAGCCTGCGAAACAACCTATATAGAGCGATTCATACAACTGTAACAAGCCACAGAATTTTTCTTTTTTTTTTTTTTTCTTGAGCGACCTGTATACTCAGGTGATCAGATCTTTTGCGCAAGTGTGATAATGTATTTGCTTTTATTTTTATTTTTCCTTTTTTTAATGGAAATCTTCCCTCTTTCGGGTAGCTATATTATAATAGATCTTACTACTCTATGTAAAATGGTTGAGAATTGATAAATTTCGCGTTATTAACTTGTATTATGAATTTCCTGCTTTCATTACATTATAATTTTACATTTTTATGTTTATAATTATATATTTGCATTTATAATTATTATAATTATATTTATATATTTATATGTAATTATATATTTTATATAACGTAATTATTACATTAAAGTTGCATTTTAATATGTTGATAGAATTTTTCTATCACAAAATAAGTTTCACAAAACATCGATACTTCTTTGGCTAGAATAACATTATTGCATTCGATGTGTATAATAAAAAAAAAAAAGTACGTTTAAGAAAATATTTTGCAGCTGCGAAACGTACGCATTTGTAAATACGTCAGAATGTCATGATAGAGTGTACTTTGAACCTCTCCTTCTCCAATTTTTCAACAAAGAAATGGTGAATGATCGCGTGTGAATCACCCTGTATATACGTAGTACGTATGTACATACATTCCTCTTGGCCGTCGCTTTAATCGAATGGAAACTAATGAAGCCAAGTGTTACGCTGCTATAAATTTTTTGCACAATTCGCATGTTTATCGCGATAACCGCGAAACCCAACGTGCTGCGAAATCGAAGCTGCTTTTAAATTTTATTATTATAACTTTATGAATTTAGATATCTTTCTCTCTCTCTCTCTCCCTTTCTTTCTCTTTTTCTCTCGATCAGCGGAGATTTTATGAAACGTATAAATTTTCGGATCGACGACACGATACGAAATAAAACGCTGACGCAACTTTGCGATCCGTTCCTATCTCGATTTTCAACAATCGTCACACTTGTATAAAGTAGCCAACGTAAAATTAATTAAGCGAGGAGTTTACGATCGACGACAGAACGATGTCTCGTTTTGCAATTCACCCTCTTGTCGTGAGGATAATCATTTGCACGAGACGCCGAGCTTAGAAAAAAAAAGAGGATTGTTAATTAAACGATTCAATTGGTACGTGTATTTTATCCGCAATTAATATTGCAATTGGATGACACACAGTAGAAAAGTGTAATTGAACAATGAACGATGAAAAATTGTTTGTCACACCTAATTAACTTTGTAAAAAAACATTATATAGCAATCTATTTGCTCTCATTTTAAAGTTGATAATAACGTAAAGACGAAATTTTGATTTTCAAGATCGTGTGAAATTTCGTCACGAGGAAACAATTTTCCAACGTTCTGAATTCGATTTCAGAGAACAGTTGGAGCAGTAAAGTTTACGCTTTAAAATTGAGACTGCTACACGATCTTTTTTTACGAAGTTACAACAATATAAAACGCGAAATGCGAGATAAAATGAAATGTTAATTTACTTGGTAGGCAAGTGACGAAATAATTCGGAGAAAAATCGTTCGTTTATTCAAATAAACGAGAATTATTTCAAGATAACATCGAGTTAAATAAGACGATGG